TTAACCAATAGAATTTTTACTATATCACGGGTTGATCTACAAAAATTGGCCAATCAAAATAAAAGCCCGCTATGTTCAAGGAATATATATATATATATAAATGCTTAAAATAATAAGAATAAAAATACATAAAACCACTAAAATTAGTTTATTTTTATTTTTACTTTTTGTGATATAAAACAAATTAAAAACTGGCGCATTACGGCACAATTTCAATAATTTACTTTGTAATTTTGATTACAGTCTAACCTCTTTACAGCAACGCCCTCAGTTCCAAGAACTTCTGTGCTTATAAGAAATTGTGCTTGTATAGAGTTCAAATTTCTTATGCTTTATATAAGTTTGTTTTAAAAATTAGTGTGCATATAAAGAGGGTGTGACTGTATGGGGGTGACTGTATGGAGGGCAGACTGTATTTAATATTCTTCAACTTCCCCTTCCTCTGCAGAATCGATTTCCTTGTATTCTTCCCCTACCTCCTTGTAATCCAACTCCAAAGCAGCCAAGTCTTCACGTGCTTCAGAGAATTCACCTTCTTCCATACCCTCACCGACAAACCAATGAACGAAAGCGCGTTTTTTGTACATCAAATCGAATTTATGGTCAAGTCGTGCCCAAGCTTCACCGATGGCAGTTGTATTTGACAACATGCATACAGCACGTTGAACTTTAGCAAGATCACCACCAGGAACAACGGTTGGGGGTTGATAATTAATACCAACTTTAAAACCAGTAGGACACCAATCAACAAATTGGATAGTGCTCTTAGTCTTGATAGTAGCAATGGCAGCATTAACATCTTTAGGGACGACATCACCACGATATAACAAACAACAAGCCATATATTTTCCATGGCGAGGATCACATTTAACCATTTGGTTGCTTGCTTCAAAACAAGCGTAGGTGATTTCAGCAACGGTAAGTTGTTCATGATAAGCTTTTTCAGCTGAGATAACTGGTGCATATGTGACCAATGGGAAATGGATACGGGGATACGGAACAAGGTTGGTTTGGAATTCGGTCAAGTCGACGTTGAGGGAACCATCGAATCGTAGAGAAGCAGTAATGGAAGATACTACTTGTGCAATCAATCTATTCAAATTTGTATAAGTTGGTCTTTCTATATCGAGATTATGGTGGCAAATATCGTAGATGGCTTCATTATCAACCATGAAAGCACAATCTGTATGCTCCAATGTAGTGTGAGTTGTCAAAACAGAATTATAAGGTTCGACGACAGCGGTTGAAACTTCCGGAGCAGGATATATGGCAAATTCTAACTTAGACTTCTTTCCATAATCGACAGAGAGACGTTCTAAAAGCAAAGCACTGAAACCAGAACCAGTACCACCTCCGAAGGAGTGGAAAACTAAAAACCCTTGAAGACCAGAACAATTATCTGCGAGCTTGCGAATACGATCGAGTACGGGATCAATAATTTCTTTTCCGACTGTGTAATGACCACGGGCATAATTGTTTGCAGCATCTTCTTTGCCAGTAATTAACTGTTCTGGATGGAACAATTGACGGTAGGTACCATTACGAACTTCATCAACGACTGTAGGTTCTAAATCAACGAACACTGTACGGGGAACATGTTTACCCGCCCCTGTTTCAGAGAAAAAGGTGCTAAATGAATCGTCACAAGTTTTGGTGGGTTTATCAGATAGTATTTGACCATCAGGCTGAAATTATATAGATAAGTAAATTTATTAGTCAAATAATATAAAGTTCATTAATTAACGTATATACTGTATATACATTTATTTATTTATTTATTCTACCTCAATATAGAATAGTAAATAAAGTGCAAGTAAATACGCGTTATGACGCCACTTTTAACCAATATTTAAATGTTGTTGTTTATTTTATAAATACAGTGAAACCTCTATAAGCGTACGCACTTGGGACCAGATTTTAACAACGTACACTTGGAGAACAATAAGAAAAAGTGCATTTATTGATGTCATGTATATATTTGAGCAAAATTTAAATGTGCATTTGAGAGGGTGTGCACTTATAGAGGGTGTACTTAGAGATGTTTCACAGCTTCATAAGAGTTTACTTACTTGGATACCGTGTTCAAGGCAATAAAGTTCCCAGCAAGCGTTACCAATTTGGACGCCAGCTTGACCAACGTGGATAGAGATACATTCACGCATATTTAATAATAGCGTTTATTGATACGTTAAAAATAAAATATTATTTATTGAAAATATAGAGTGTAAGATATTTTTTTAGAAATATTTTGAGAATTGGTTTGTACTCAGGTTAGGGAACCTGAAAATTTTCAATTTGGTTGGTATCACTTTTAGAAGAAAGTTTGAGCGATAACACAAAAGTATTGTAAGAAATACTCTTGTTTATAGCAGACCTGTCAAGCTAAGAGAATTAGTCCATTATTTACTAGTATGGTTAGATCTGATCTGATGAATGTAAATTAGTCCGATACTATATATTATGTATGTACAGTATATACATGTGTGACCGGTTGTTACAAGATTATAAATTCTAAAATAGTTAATCTTATTTCGGGTATCCTTATGTCAAGCAAATTTCGGGCTGAAGATTACTTCTGGCCTAAAAATTTTGGGTCGTAATATATCAAAAATTTCCCATATATTTAGTATATAAAAATGCTTCCTATGACTAAAATTTCGTGCCGGAAACTTTTTTTTAAGGTCGGGAGTTAGTTGGCATAGTAAAATTTCGCGTTATTTACAATTTCTTGCATTTCTTGCGTTTGGTTGTTACACAAAATCCTGTAATTTTATTGGATCCGATCTATGAAATTTATGATCGGAAGTGATCTTCAGCCCGGAATTTGCTTGATGCGACATAAGGGTACCCATATTCAACACAGTAACACAGTCTGTCCAGCTCCTACAGGGAGATCCCCAAAATTCCGGGTCGGACGCTTCGGAACTCTTGCCGGAAGGGCCGGAGTTGATCAATTT